AGGGGCGTCTAAACCGTCCAACAGAGGCGGCACATCCTCCAGGGATGTTGACTCGACGTCCGTTAAGTACGTCTACCCTTGCGGGCATGTTTGCAGCTCGTATATGATCACGTCACTTTAGCTAGATCAGAGAAATGCGTCTGGAGCAACATTATGAAAACTAGAATTCATCACACTTGCTTATCACACTTGTGCGGTATGGGGATTGAGATGAGACATAATGGGCAACGTCCACACAAATTCGCATCATTCTCCAGGAACATTGACGTTCTTATCTCCCCCTAACGGAAGGAATATTGTCTCATTAAAGTGACAACCCGCAAATGAGCGGTAAAGAGATCGCGTGCAAGGGCTCTAAGAGAGCTAGTGTGAAGAAGAATCATGATTGACAAAAAATACATATCCTTCTTTGAGGACCCATGTTGGTACGTTGCGGCGACACAACTTGGCACATGGAATGCACACCCAAATGTGTAAATACAAAAATCATCAAGTTCGTACCCAGTAACCAACTGTAACGTCATATAGGTTAAGTGGCAATGGGCCTCAAGGCGGACCAACATAACTGCGTACAAGGATTGCATAGCCCTAAGCAGAAACCGAAAACTTGGTACTTTTAACAAAATTTGGGCGATCATTTAAATTTGCGCTTTATGATCGCTAGGCAAGGTTATTTGGGGTGAACATGGGAATTCAATGTTCAATTATAAACCCAAAATACATGCAATACTTTATCGAAAATCGTCGATATAAATGCTCTGGCATTATTCAGTCTCCCGAACCTTAAGGGATAAGCAAGGTGGTGAACCATTTATCGGCCAGAAGGTTTAGCAATAATGTGTGTGGACAAACATGTGACCAGTTTGTCGATTCATCAACCAAAACTATAAGTATTTATATGGTCCGCATTTTTGTCGGATTAGTCCACATATATTCCCTTGAATCCACTGTGAAAAGAGAGTCGTGTCGTATCTTTGCGAGGAATGATATAGAAAATCAATTTCCTTAATGAGCCTGCTTGGCAAAGTGTGCTTGTAGGCACAATATCCTTACTTTAGATAAGGAGATGCATTGTAGCATCATTGTTTGACCTAAGTGTCCCAAAAGGTCGTAACAAAGAAAGTAAACTGCTCAATCACCAGGCTCCAGGCTGGCCACATATGGTGTATTCCCAGTTGGAAGACAACTCATCAGCCCCAAATCAAAGCTTCAGGCTAATTTTTGGAAGTGACGTACAAATATTTCACTCTATTTTCTTCAGTGGTTTCATTTATGATCATTGTCATCTCGAATATCCTTAAAAACTCAACGTCAGGGAGAATTTAAGGTCCCTTAAATGGTGATGCAGTACTATTCGTACAACGAGGAGCGTGCCAATGCTCTTAATCAGGTTGGATAGACCTGAAGTCATTGTTAGAGATGTGATTTAGGTGTAAAGTTAGTGTGCGTAGTACGCATTCATCCAGACAACTAACTTTCCCACATTCCTACCTAACCACGTGTTTAATTGAATTGGTCACGTGTATTAAGAAAGATGATTCAATTAACTCATATTTGAGGACAATATCAATAAGATTATCCATAAGTAAAACATACACCAAACTTGAATCCAAGAACATGGAAAAATGTTCACAAAGTAAACCAAAGTTACTAGGGTGGATTCGGCCAACAAGGTCATCCATGTCAAAATTCTGCTCTTCCAACAATGTTTGGTAGAGCAAAATTAGTCTCACATATTAACTACTAGAATGGTACTCCTTAACAACATTGGTAGGGGCACGAACAGGTGCATAACCAATGATCTATTTCATCAAGACAGAAGTAGATTCTGCAAGGTTAAGGTTTGGGAATATTATCCCTTATTCTTGAAGTTTTAGGTCTTAGGTGCCAAGGATCACGCTTCGGGCATGATGCCACACCTTAGCAGGCCCCGATTCTACCATATGTTGTAAAAACAAACTCCAAATTGGATTGTGAGAGAGTATACCATTCGGTGTATCCCTACCAAAGCAGTGCATCACCATTCAGTTAGGCTTTGACCGAACTGGGTCGAGCCATTATGTGGACTCCAGCCGAACTAGGTCCATATCTTTCTCTCACATTTGTGGTAGTAATCAGGTCCGAGAATTTGGTAAACTTCCTCTTTCTACACTGCTGCTTCAGGGGCAAGTTATAAACATGAAGGACAAGAAAAGTATTCTCTAGTCAAAATTCGATCGGATTTATAAACTTCAGAATTGTACTCATTCATGGACGTAATCATGGTGTGCTTCAGGCAATGTCTTTCATGATTAAACGGTCCATAGAAGCGAGCCAAAGAGCCATGGAATCCTCGTTCATGAGGTATTTCCATTTGTAATGCTTCGGGCACAAGTCTTTGAATAAAGATCATGGCGAATGCTTATTCAGCTCCTCCTTGCCTTTATTGGCTACAATGGTTTCTCAGCTTGTTGATAGTCAAGTGGAGATTCACATCTTGTACCCATATAAAGTGGTTTCTAATAGAAACATCCAAATCAGGGAAATCGAACTTGTGACAGTTCAACAATCCATTGAATTGGGGGGAATAAGATTGTGATTGGTGCTATGGGAATAAATCATCCATACGCATCAAAGTTAGAACATTCGGGTTCTAAGACATAGTTTTCATGAAAAATTCGGGTTTCATGGGTGTATTGTTTTACAAAAACTTCGGGTTTCAAAGGCACTAAATTTGAAACTACAGGTTCAATTTAGTTTATGAACGTTTAGTTCATAAAAGAGAGGTTCCTGCAAGAAACACAGAATGCAATATACAACTAAGTGTAGTGGATTTGAGGTTCTTCGAGAACTTAAGTGTGAGAGCTTTGTTACTACGAAAGTATGTCAATGGTTCAAAGTATAAAAATAAATTATTGAATCGTTAATATCCAAAAGTGATCTTCAGGTCAATAATTTTGGATTCATTATTAGATTAATGGACTGCAAGTCACTTTTAATTAATTCAATAGATCGGGACCAAACATGGTCGATTGTAGAAGCTAAATAATATTAACATACGGGTTAATACTATTTAGAATGCTAAAATAATAACATGTGGGTCGAAAAAATTACCCCAAAAGATAATTGGGCTCGTGTTAGGTACCTTGAGTAAAAGGCATGGCCTAAAAAAGGGCCTCGGGTGTGAACTTCAGGTCACGGGGTGAGGGAGAAACCCTAACCGCAGCTGGTTTTCAAGGTTGGGCCTCGAGGATGGCACGGGACAAAGCCCAGCAGATTTACTGGCCTATTAATGCACGGGAGCTGGCGTCATGCAAGGACCAAACCCATGTCTATAAGCTGATACCGGAGCAGACTATAAGCCTTAGTACGCGCGGGACAGTAGCCCAGCAAGCATGACAGCTTGCTGGCATGGGCCGAGAGCAAAATGAGGTTCAAAAAGGAAAGTTGCAGGCTTCCTTGATGATTGGGGACTACGGGCCCGAGACAACCCAACCAGGCCAAAGGCCTGGGGTGTGTATATGCTCGCAGCAAAGCTTGCAGTCAAGGTCCATGTGGGTGCAGCAAAGCCCAGAGGGCTGCTGCCCAATTTGTGCAGCAAGGGGTGGTGCCATACCATTCCCAAATTTTTTTCAACATATGTAGGGTTTAAGAAACCCTAGAATTGCTTCTAATTTAATTTGATACTTTGACTCACATATTCCACATAACAATTTAATTGTGCGATGCATGAAACAAATATATATATATATATATATATTGGCAAATATATGAACATATACAATATATATATCGGAAGGAAAATAAAAACATAGGGGGGTTCATGTATCATGGGGAATGTTTTCATGCTTCATGGTTGTTTCAAATATCTTACTTTATTTTAAGCGTACATGATTAGCATAAAACAAATAAAAGCCTATGAATTTGTAGAAGATCCTTCTCTGTAAGCCGGAATTGCATCTTCAATGCGTTGGATCACGTTTAACACAGAAAAATTAAATTGAATCAATAGCATGTAGATCAATTTAAAATAATAAATTAATCATAAAAAGAATGATTAAAACGTAATACTGCCCTGATTAAAGAATAAACTCTCTTTAGCGCAGCGTCAAGAATGTGCTGATAATGTGTTGTAGGCATAATTTACTGAACAATTATGGAGGCCATAGAGAGAGAGAAAGGTGCGGCAATAGTAAAGAGAAAGAGAGAGATGTGTAATTGTGGGTGTGTGTTATTCCACCCCATTGATCCTTTATTTATAGTAGTAGGAAAGGTTAATTCCTCACCCTTTAGGATTACAACATTTAATAGGTAATCTACTCCTAATAGGAATATAAGATACATTCACATATCTACTAGGATTTACACAATCACATTCCTATTCCAATATGACTGCAACATAATTCTAATTTTCATTTCATTCGTATATTTTATATTGTCGACACAGTTAAGCTAACTTTTTTATATAATATATTATGTTACACTTTGTGTTTTTTTATATAGCTACATTAATTCGTTTAATATATTTTGGTTTAGACATTTAGGTACATTAATTCAATATAATATATTTTTGTACAAACATTTGAGTACAATAATTCATCCTATTATATTTTTGACGCAGCACAAAGTAAGAAGGATACAAATGTAAGCCCCAAAAATGAACAAACAAATGGCTTAAATGGACATATAATACAACTTCCACCAAATAGATAAATTCCAACTGCATCTTTTTGTCTTCCGACGGTTCATTTTCTCTTCAATCCTTCATGTCATTTGTTCTACATCAATTTCGGTGCAAAATTAATAAATTACAATGCGTATATTAATACATTCAAATATTTTTCAAAAAAAAATCAAATATTTAAAGGGAGACGTTGAATAAAATACACATTAAATATTAAAACAAAAACAGATTTTTTTTTAACAAACTATATTATCTACACTAAGGGAGAAGGGGTATACTTGTAGGTTTAGCCTCACAATTGGCTAGCAACAATGTGACCTCTCACTTACAAGTGAAAATGAATACCACTAGACCATAATACTAAGTGACAACAAAAACAAAATTTGACTTTAAATTAAAGTACACACCAATAGACTAGAATCAATATGTAATCTAAAACCAAGTTTCAATTAAATTTCAATCTTTTTTAAGGATTTAAGTTCAAAAACCCCTAAATAAATATGGCTCCAAGGAAGGAGCGAGTAGGAAGTCCTTCACAATATAGAAAATAGCAACACATCAAAACGATGCCATCCCACCAAATTTTCGAAGGTACTCCCACTTCGAGTTACATAAATCTTTCAAGGTCCCTCATACACAATTCATTCGGAACCATGGCAATGTGACTTACAACTCTCGTGAGTCCCTATGAATCGACGCCATGAGTGGTTAGGAACAAACCACTCTAAAGATTGTGCACTAATGCTCAACATTTTATGCCACATCGAAGAGTAGTAAAAGGAAAGAACCTATGAACATGTAAAGGTTCTGATGTATTTCATGCTTTCCAATATACTTACTTCTACTTAGAAGCCTCTTTCCACTTTCAAGTCACCCATTTAGAGTTAAACCAACTTTGAACTTAAATGTTGGCCGGTCGAATTTTGAGCATTAACAATCTTGTATTTCCATGCGTTTTCATTGAAAGAACGAGTATACTAGCTTACGCTAAAAAAAATATGGTTCAATAGGTTTTCAACATTCCATACCGTCAGTTTAAAATTTTTTATTGCCCTAGAGATAGACAGAAAGTATATATACACATGTAAATACATTCCTTTATAGTAAATTCGATTTTATCAGTGACTAAATTTATAGTAGCATCTGTATGAGGTGAATATTCAAAAACGGAGGTGACAATAAACAAAGACGGCGTTGGGCATTGGGGGAGTGCAAAAGGTGCACCAGCATGGCCCCAATTTCTGAGGGGTCCCCAAGGTTCATCCTCCTACATGTATTACTTATGTAAGAAAGTCAAAGAGTGTGTAAGAATAGGATTCCTTCTTCCAACAAAATGGTAGGAAGAGAGAAAATAAGGGTGCGTATGGTGGGCAAGGCCAACGAACAAGAGTGAAGGTAGATAAGGATGTGGTGAGGTTGGCATGAATAACCTACACCAAACACGGTGTGAGCAGTTCTGAGAGGCTCCAAAATAACCCACTTTTATCGAATCCACAACACAAGTTTGCAACCCTAATCCCCATGACGTGTGAGCTCCTATATATCCCCACTGCCATTTATCCATATGTGACCTTTATATACACATCCCACAATTAAATGTTTCCCTGCACACACACACACATATACATACTTCAAACACAAATTGCAGTACGTATGTAAAAACTCATTATAATCTGAACTTCTTCTTCACAACCTCATTTCGCTTTCTAGTACTGGAAATCATGGAAGATGACAATATGAGAGCATTTGACATGGCGGCGCTAAGAACAAGTCTCCCACAAAAGTAAGAACACATTGTTTTCTCTAAATTTTCCATTTTGATTTCGCATTTTTAATGTTTTGGTTTCTCAAAGAACACATTGTTTTCTCTAGGTTTTCCATTTTGATTTTGCATTTATGATGTTTCGGTTTCTCGAGGGAATATTTTTAACGGTTAAATTTTATGTGGTACATTGCGTGCACAGATTATGTACTAGTGTCGAATGCAATGCACCAGATGTACAAAAATTTGTTTTAATACGTGCATGGGTTATAGAAAATATTTTTTATATTTCAAACTTGGTTAATTGAATGCAATATGCACATGTTTGTTTCTCAGCAAGAGAGGGTTGTCAAGGTACTACTCAGGGAAATCGAGATCATTTACGTGCATGGCCGATGTACGAAGCCTCGAAGATCTGAAGAAACCTGAAAATCCCGATGCTAAAAAGAGGAAGAAACATTCTGAGAGGAGGAACTTCCCCGTTCCAGCCTACCCTCCTTATCCTTGTCGAAGAGTTTCTAGCACCACGCAATGTTCTGCACCCTGCGTTGGTGTGTGAATAAAATAAATCAACTGACGAACGGGAAAAGCACAATAACATTCTTTTCTGCAATGCTTTGCTGCTTTCCAAAATCTCAAGAGGTGCAGATTTCGAATATCATTCTTAGGATTCATGTGGTTTTTGGAGGATCTAGCTGCGGGAGAACCAGGAAGGAAGAGCTAGTTTTCCCTTTCTCCCACATTGTGTAAATATCAAAGTATTAATTTAAACATATGCATGTATTAGATCTTATTTCTTATTTAATTTTGGTTTTTGTTTTCTATACAGAAAACAGACTTGTGTAATTGTCTCTGTGCTAGAACTTTGTTTGGTGTAATATCTTTGTGATGAAATTAAACAACTTTAAAAATCTAATGTCACATTTTGTTTTCAATTGTTGATGCCAAAAAAACTTAGAGATGAAGTGGTCATGTGGAGATGATAGATAGTGATGGATGCGGAGCACAACACGTACGTGGTTGGGCTACATTCATAGAGTTACGGTAGTTCTCATTTAGATAATGTGGTGTTTACATAATATAACGTCGGTTTAACTCATTAGTGGAATCTAAATGGAGATTAAGGGATTAAGGACCTTAAATGTGGGAAAGGTTCAAAGGAGACTCCTTTTACAAATGAAGGGAGTCCCTCTTGGAAGTAGTTATTCGTACCCACGGGTCAACAAAATATAGGATAGTTTGGTAGTCGAGAAAATTCTAATTAAGTAGAGAGAAAAAGTCTTGAGAAATCTGTTGTTTTTTATTTTAATCAATCAACGATAATTAGATTGATATTCTTTTATTTATAAGATAATGGCACTGTCCAAGCATTCTTGTGTGGCAATTGGTTTCCTATTAGTATGTGGCTGAGTATTTAAACATCCAACACTATCAACACCTACAGCAAGCTGAAAGGTGTGGCAAACAACTTCATGTTGGATGTGAGAAATTGAAATCGATCAATGGGAGGAAGGTTTGGTGAAGACATCAGTCAGTTGAATCATACAACATGATAGCCTGAATAGACTTACCACAAAGTAACTTGCGTACAAAGGGAAAGCCAACCTCGATATGCTTTGTACTAGAGTGATAAACAAGATTTGCAGAAAGAGCCAGAGCTCAAATATTATCACAAAATATAGAAGTGAAACAAAGAGGAAGAATTGCACTAGAAATCCAAATATTCTCAATGAAGTAATAGCAAGAGCTTTCTAGTTTGGTGATCTGATTCTGTACACTAAGATTAGGAGTAACATGATTCGTGGCATCAGTATTAGCAAGCCAGCCAGTATGTTTTTGCAAGGAGTGGGATTGGAAATGGTGACCACAACAATTTTTTTTTTTTTTTTTTTTTTTTTTTAAACAAACGATAGTGTTAATGAGTAAAATTATTGTTGTATGTAGGGGTGGGGGAAGAGAGATCAGTGGGGATCGAATCCACATTAGTGATAGACATGATTGTTTTCTGCCATTGCGGTAAAGCGCCATTTGCATCTGCACAACACCTAAGAAAGTTTTTTAATAAAAGTTTAACCTTCTATATTAGATATAATAAAAGGGTGCAATAATATTAGATAGAGTGAAATAATATGCCCTACATTTTATATTTTTTAGCAAGCTCCTTCATCCTGTCGACGTCTTCTAATTGCTAAATAGCTAGAGGTCGCTTGGTCTCGTGACTTATTGTAGTTTTCTTTCTTTTCTCAGGCTTTTTGCCACTTTGTTTAAAAAACATAATATGACCTACATGACACCAATATGGTGTATATGTAAGCAAAAAGCTTTCGAGTCTTGCGTAAATTAATCAATTAACTTTATGGAATGGTAAATAGTGTAACAATTCGCAACTTCGGTCAATATTTAAAATAAAAGGGTGCAAAATGTGATTTACCTTGAAAAGAACGATATTATTAATAGGTTAAATAAATTAAAGTGAAACCGAAAAAATTCATAGAACTAATTAATTAGAATAACGTGGAGACCAAGCCAAAGACAGCACATGCCACAATCTTGTGGAAAATTTGGCCTTTTTTGTCATATGCACTATACAATAGACACACTGTTCTAAAAATTCTCGCCTAGAGCCGTCTCGTCCTGATTAATCCCTAGACGTTTGAAAATTAAGAAATGGCGCCTAGACTTGCTTATATGTCCGCCTAGACCGCTTAGGCACTCGCTTAGGTCGCGACTCTCACTTAGACATAAAATTGATACCTTTCGTTTTGCATTTTATTTTATTTTTTTAATAAAATGTTGAATGCTTGGATGAATACTCATTATATGCTTGTTCCCTATGTTATCAATATGTTCTAATACTTTGTAATCTATATGTCATTTTATTTTGTAAATTAGGTATTCCAACACAATTATGTATTTTTTTTAAGTATAAATAGATGCTTATTTATATGATATATAATAAAATTACTTAAATCCCTAGACCCCTGCCTAGACCCCGCCTAATCGCCTAGGCACTAGCTCCAACCAAGCGCCCGACTAGCGCCTAACATCTTTCAGAACCTTGATTAAACATAAATCTAATTAATTGGATTTGTAGACCAATGTTAAAAAGATCCAAAGAGACTTACCGGCAGCTTCAAAGAAAGTTCCTTTCGATGCATAAAAAGCCAATGAGTTTCCTCCAACTCCAAGTTTAGTTCATTTGATGAGATGGTCCACTATATCTATATACTGGGTGACCATGCTGCATTCAAAGTCCCTTATATTGTCTCACACATAATACTTTAATCATAGATGGAATTTTCCATTCAAATTGGATATTGCTATTCACATATATATTTTTACCTCTCACACACTTTTATTAATTTTTTGTGATTTTCTTCAATTTTTTCGATTTGATGGTTGAAAATTGAGAAGAGTGCGTAAGATGTAAAAACGGATGTGTGGGTAGCACTACCCTTAATATTTTACATGAAAGATTTAGGGTTCTTTCACTAGTAGTACTTAAAATTAAATTTTATACTCAACTCAAAGCCTCATTTTGATTTGTTCTGTTATAGTATCGGATTTGTTATTGCACTATAAATAATAAAGTTTTTTTTGTTAGGCAAGAGGATCAGTGGAAATCCAAGGCACACAAATTATTTTTATTTTTGAAAAACGCTATTGAGTTTCAGTCCTCCAACAAAAAGGAAACAAGGCACCAACATAATCCCACCGCTCAAGTCTCTCCCCGAAACATTCCATCTCGTCCATCCACGTGCAATATGCTGCCGCCTTCCATGCCTATACATAGACACCGCTGCCTCTATAATTATGTCATACGCAAATCACCGAAGCTTAATCATCGAACATTCCTTAGTTCCCAAGAAAGTCAGAAACCCTAAACCCCTTTCACCTTTTCGAGTTTTATTCTTGACGTATGTTTGTTTTCTTCGGGATGTGAATTGCGTTGTGCGTTCTCTGAGATTGATGCTAGGAATTAGAGTTTCTACTTTCTAGGGTTTCGCATACTTTTTCTGGATTTTGGTAGTGAAAGTATCTATAATATGTTTGATTGAAATATTTAATTAGGTTTACGCTTGTGAATTTTTATTTTCGTGACAAATCTACAGCATGCATGAATAATTTGAATTATGTTCGTAGTCTTTTGATGTTCCTGGTCATTAGAGTTAGGGTTTTTCGTTGGAAGATTTGAAAAAACAAAAAAAAACCCATGAACCCTTTGTACAACGATTATGTCACAACAACCAGTTACGAGTCTGTCATGAGATGAATTATTTGAATTTTTTTTGGTGAGGCATGATGTATGCATTCTTCTATGCAAGAACTTCCTGACTTCTGTGTATTCATGTTCTTAATCTGTTGGATCGGAGGCGTTGATTTCTTACGTGGTTTACGTGGATTGTCAGTTGAAGATTGCGATGTGAGGAAGGCTAACAAACAGTTACTGTTCTGTGTTGCAGTTTGCAGATTAATTTGTTTAGTTCTCAATCAAGAAAAATTACATGATTGACCCAGATGTTCAGATCGCAACTACTTTTGACCCTCTAGCTGACACCGGAGATATATACGGCACGCCCCTAGCTCCTTTCGACCCTTTTAAAGACCCTCTTAGAGACACCGAAGAGCCAGATGCGCTCGGAGCCTAAGAGTATGTGCATATTCGAGTGCAGCAGAGGAATGGAAAGAAGTGCCTGACAATAGTTGAAGGGCTGAAGGAGGACCTGGACTTCAAGAAGAAGCTTAAGGATCTGAAAAGGGAGTTCTGCTGCAATGGCAATGTGATTGAGGACAAAAAGCTCGGCAAGATAATTCAGCTCCAAGGCGATCAGCGCAACAAGGTGCTTCAGTTTCTTGTTGATGCTAATATTGCCTACAAGGAGCAGATCAAGATTCATGGTTTTTGAGGGCGCTTGGAGTTACTAGTAGTGTGCTGTTATTGTTTCTTCGATAGACTTCTCTCTACTTGTAGTAGTTATATTTTGATGTTTGTTTTTGTTAGATGCTTTTTGGTAGTTGATGGGGATTTCAGATGATGAATGCTGTGAGACTTTATTATTAATAAATTTGCTTTTGTTTTTGAATCTGTTGTTTTTTGTTTTAGTGTCACCACTGGGGAGAAATCTTCTCTTTTACAGTGTTGTATAACCGGTTACACCTAAGATTCGAATCAAACGTAACACAAACTTACAAAGCTATATGTAAATTGGAGCATATACAGTTGGTACAAATTCAATGAGATGAGCAGCAGCAGTATTAGGCTTAATCTCTGCAAAAATGATAACTCAAAAGAAAGCTCATTCAACATTCAAAATAATTAAACGAACGGACAAAGGAGAACGCTAGCTACCTTCCCCTTTTGTTTTCCTCTTTATCGTACAACATGTCGGTTCTAATATGGTATTACAGTTCATTTATTTGAGGGAGCTTTAATGAAAAGAGTTTAGATCAAGATTATTTTAATAAAAAATCACCCTATATTTTTCTTTAACCAAAAGCACCTCAAAATTAACCATAAAGACAGAGGCCTCCAATTCTACATGGGCTGAATTACAGAGCCCAACAGAAACAAAAATAAGTTTTCAAAATTACCCCAACAAGGAGGCACAGGTCTAAAACTTATTTGTTCTCATGAAGAAGAAAACTCACGTCAGCTCCAAATAGAGCATCGATTAGCGTTTTGTTTTCTGGGTTTTTCTTCCTTCATTCTTGGTGCATATATCAGTTTTTGAATTTCCTTGTCCAAATTAGATTCAGATTTGGAGAATAACCAGACTTTGAGAAGAAGAAAAATCCCAAATTATTGAATCCAATCTCCAAAAGTACAATTAAAAAGAAACGAACAAGAAAAGAGTTGTGCAATTGAATCAAGGAGGAGGACACTCAAACTGAATCCATTTTCCATGGAACAAGAAAAAACCAAAATTCCAATTCCTTGCACCCATTTCTCCATAAAACTAGAAAGAAAAATATATCTCTACCTGTGAGAGAACCACCTTCCCTAATTACAAAATCTAGAAAAGAAAAAGAAAATAGAAAAAGTAGACGAGAAAGAGAGAGAAAAGTAACTTCAATCATGGCGTTCAACTTTCATAACATTGTTAATGTTAAACATTTCTAGGAAATAGTATGATTTTTTGCCACTTTTTTAGAAAACAATGCGACCCGTTATGTTTTGAATATGTGACTGTTTCTGGTGTCTCTTCAAAAACTAACACTGTCTCTGGAAAAACTAGCACTGTTTTTGGAAAAACACTGTCTCTGGAAAAATTAACATTGTCTCTAGAAAAACTAACACTGCCTCTGGAAACAATGTTACTTAAAATCCAGAAACAATTTATTTTTACAGTCCAGAAACAGTGACATGTTGTTGTTATTGAATAGCATGCAAATCTCAAATTTATTTTCTGGAGAAACAAACGATGAACTCCACTGACGAAGAAAAATTGAAAAACATTACCTCAAATCCACTATGAATAATAACGACGATCACATTTCAATGAAATAATACAAAATATAAACTAAATAGCATGAGGATCTATATTTTTGTTTCAAAGAAAAAGAAGAAGGTCTGCAAAACAACAATGAACTCCATTAACGATGAAAATTTGGAACTCAACCTAAAAAAGTTAGGGGTAAAATCAACAAATCATAATTTATTATAGTTGGGTCATTTTTAATTGGACTGCTTTATAATGGGTCTTGTACTAATCATTAAACAAAACTTATAACATGGTTTTTTATTAAAACTAAAATTTTTCAAACCCTTTTCATTAGTTTTCTTTTTATTTTATACCAATGTGGCTGTTTTAATAAAATAGTAGCTTGTGGTGTCTAACCGTGTTTTAATAAAATGTGAACTTGTCGTGTCTAGCCATGTTATAACGAGATCATCAGTAGCATCACATGACCAAAGTTAGTTCCTTGAAATCGTCATGTAGAAGATGTTGTTGCTTTAACATCTAAATTGTATAATGCCCTCAAATTGCTAATATTATTAGGTTTCACTTTCATGTACAACCACACATACGAGCAATATTGAAAAAGGAACTTGAACATGTAACCTCAGGTGCAACAAGGGTGAACGCTCTATACCACTTTGAGTAACAAATCCTTGCCACTTTAAGTAACAAACCACTGCCACTTTCGCATATAACCATGGCAAATAAGGGCCCGCTTAGAGCAACTCCAGCGTGTGAAATCTCTCCCCAAGGCAATACACTATGCTATCCACCCACTGAACAGTAATTGCCCTTAATGAATAGTAATCATTTTTTGCATCTCCACCGTTGCACTTAAATAGCCCTGGCAATAGACAATAAAATATTACTATTTTTTTTATTTATAAAATAATACAAAATAATTTTAATTGTAATTTTGGATAAGATTTTTAATCATTCTTGTTGCGCCACGTGTCATTATTCGAAGTATTACTAAATAATACAAAATAATTTTATTTGTAATTTCGGATAAGATTTTTAAATAATACAAAACAATTTCGGATAAGATTTTTAAATAATACAAAACAATTTTTTTAAATTTTTATTCAACTAATTAATCTCTACCGTTGGATATAAAAAAAAAATTTTAATTTCAACACTCCAAATTGTGTCACGTGTCACAACGGTAACTTTTCTTAATTTTAAAACTATTTTTTCTTTTATTTTTTTATTTATAAAGCAGATTAATATCAACCGTTCGATCTTAAATCATAATTTTTTTTTTATTACCATTGCATATCGGACGGCCCATTTTAAAGAGCCGTTGAGATCGAACGCACCGTGGGAAGCCACGTGGCTTACCAACGGTAACATTTCAGTCTGAAAAGTGGGCTGATTTTTCTGAAAATATGTCGAGCGACGCGCCCCCATGCGTGAGTGGGGTGCACACACCTGACAGAAAAAAATAAAAAAAGGGCCTGACACCGGGCTAACGTCAGCCCTGGCGTCACATCCACTCGGGCTCTCGGTCTAGTAATTCTTCACAGGCCCGAAGCTTGGGCCTCCACCTCCACTCGGGCTCCTTCACGCTGGAGCGAATCCATAGGACCTCGGGCCCTTTTCTCTTACTTGTCCCTCGAGCAATCCACCACGGTGGAGTTGTTCTTAGACGCGATTGTAAAAGGGGCACAATCACTTCTAGGGAGAAGCACATGACACGCACTTCCCCCGTAAACTCGCTTGGAAAATTACTTGCAAGCATTTTACGAAAAAACACCTCACATGTTTTCGCTTTTCGCAACTCAATCCTAAATATTTTCCAAATCCATGGTGGAAACTTAATTCATGATGACATAAAAAGGAACTCTGAAATTCACGATTCACTAGTTTAGGTGCATTTTCTAAGTTATGGTTTTCTTCAAGTTACACGGCTAAAAATCTGTCAACTAAGTTAGGAAGAACAAGAAGACGCATTACACTTGTAACCACAGAAAAAGGGAAGCGAAAAGACCGCTTAATTTGTACCGGCTCGACCTAATAAACAGCAATTGAGCCAACCTCCCAAAAAGAATCAGTGCTTCTCGCTAATGGTACAAAATTAGAACTGAACTGAGGCCTCCACATTAGAGATCCAAGGAAGAACTATTGCAACTTTATCTTCTTGCTGGTGACTGAATCCCAATTATCAAATATGACAAGCTCATCGTCGTCATCAACAAGTTCCAATTTCTCGGGATTTCTTGTACTACTGCCAGCAACACTTGGTATATCTGGATTGACAGCCTCAGAAGCCTCAGACAGTTTTCTCTTCCTTCCAGTAGTTTCAACATCATCGGTCTTTTCAGCCTCTGTAGATGCTGATGCATTTGACGTGCTTCCAGCATTTGCAGTAGACTTCTTGTCATCCTGTGCCACTGCAGGAGATTGAGTCCAACCAGATAGAACCATTCCATCGGGTTCCTTCTCTTCATCAAACTCCTCTCTGCACGAAATCAAACTTGCATAAATAATCATGTAGATTACATGACAGTAAAGAATAAAATAACATCATCACCCGACCCTATAAAAAAAACAGCAACTAGAATCAGAAAATGCTTCATGCAACCTCAATGGTATACTTGGTTAGGTTTCGGGGGTGGGGGAGCCAATAATGGAAGAGAAGATAAATTGCAGGTTGAAGGACATTAACTTCAACTAACACAGCTTCTGCAGCTGCGTGAAGCTTTATTTCTATAAACCATAACAAGAAAATTAGTCATTGCGAATGCTTGTGTCTTAAAGTCATCCATCATTTTGTATGTGATGTTAAGAAGCAATTTTAATGATGCATAGGAGCTTGCAGATCAACTGGATAAAGAACCACCTGTGCTTAATATTGATCTTGCATGATAGTTCTTGCTGAAGATCCTCAATTGTCAGCATGGTCCCACTGGTAACTGGAGTAGGAAGCTCAGACAGCACCTGCAATTTTAGGTAAAAACATTTTAAAAAAAATCACACAAACAAGACACATGTATCAGGTGAACTTACACGAGCAAGTCTTCCTGAAACACAGGAAAAGAATTCATACCTTATCAAGGTTTGCTGCATAATTTGCAACCATGTCTTCGTCCAGGTCATCACCAACTTCATAAAGAAGGGCTGACCCATGCATAATGAGTGGCAAGCTCATCCCAAGCTTGGCTCTAACAATCTTTTCAACTACATCCCGCAACTTTGTGCGGTGAGTATTGATCTCAAGTGATAGTGGTGTCTGCTTACAATCATATTGCATTAGTGCATACCACAATTCTACTTTAAATGTCGGCAAAAAGATCCCACAAAGATGGAATTTAGAAAAGAACAATCAGTATACCTCTGAACAGACATAGCAGGACTTGTTAGGCTCAAATGGATCCACTGGCATGAGCAACATTTTTCTTGCTGGATGTTCCAGACAATATGTCATCCTACATAGCCATTCAGATCAGGGTAGAATCGGACCACAAGGAAAAAAAAAAAATACAGTGTAGGACAAACCACTGGAAGAAAAAAATAAAAGTAACGCTGCTCCACTGGCTGAATTACCATCATCAATGACATACTGTTCAAATTTCAATTTCCCTAATTGTTAAACTGGTATGACTTCAATCAAACAAATGGAAATTGAAAATGACTTAAAAGTAGGACCCTTCCGATTACACCTATATGCAAGCCAACCAGTGCAAATAAAGCAATGACAGAAATGTACTACCATCTCGTGTTCCTGAATTATTCCCATCAGAAGCAGTCAAAGAATTCTTTTCTTCCCTAAACCAATATATGATCTTGGCTCTAGGCTCATCGATGCACATCAACCAATTATAAGTGCATTTCTGTGTGGGTATGTGTGTCGATGCACAAGTGTATTTGTGTGCAGATACAACAATTCAGTAAAAGATAATAGTGAAAAAACCAAGAACAGAAATATTTCTCTTCACCATTTTGAAATACTAAAATTCAGAATAGCAAATTATATTGAAATAGAACACATTTTTTTATATGGTATCGAAAGAGAAAGAAGGAGGGAAAAAAAAAGAGCACTTTTTTTTTATTACAAGGGCAATCGCACACACCTATAATTCTTTGTATCATTTTGCAGCACCTTGATTGCCTCAATGACAATCAACCCAGCAATAATAGCATTCGTTGTTGCAACAGCATGAACAATATTACCAGCAATGCCTTTAGCTTCAAAGAGGCTATGCAATGGGATTCCAAAAGAAGCAGCCCGTATATTTGCAGCAGAAGTAACAAATTCTACAGCTAGCTGATCATCTTTATCAAAAGTCAGATTTCCAATCTCCTGCCACCAGTGCCCCCACGCCCCGCAAAGATAATGAGAAAAAAAAACGCAAAAAAAAGTTAAAGAGTTCTGAGAAAAAAATAAAAGTTATGAGTCCAGCTTGACATATGGAAAATAAATGGTTGTGCAATGACTTTCCTTACTACAAGAGTTTAAACTAACCTTCTGCCTTTTCAAGAAAAATAGTTTCAAAGCCTCAAGAAAGACGCTGGAATTTTCCATAAGGCTCCATATATCCTGTGGATTCTTCATTCCTAGAGATGCCATGGCAGATACTGAATATACATCATTGGATGCACCATTCTTTTCCATACTTCCATTCTGTTGACCGAGCCCATTAGGCACGACATCCCTACTATATATAGGCCTTGGTCTATTGCGGTTCTTCCATGTCTCCTCATTAGACAAAGCTTGCTCAATGTTATAACCAAATACATGATCATATATTCTCCTTCCATACTGCTCAATGTCTTCATCATTTCTATGTTCAAATACATCTTCAGCCTGTTCTGATGAGCTAGCACCATCACTAGAACGTACATTCAAATCATTTGCCTGATTCTTATCCCCAAACAACTTTGCAAAGAGAAGTTCCTTTGCCCATACAATACAGTGAACAAACTGCAAAATACAGATTATACAGTCAAAGTCTAGACCCATGGAGCAGGGGGTTATCTTGAATAATGATGAATATACCATTTTAATTAGTTGGAGGAAAATGATCATCGTCCAATCCGACTAAAAGTTTGTTCCATGCAAACTGGCAAACCATATATTTTAGTTTTCTATTGTATATCTTTCAATATCATTTTTATGGCCCAAAACATCATTCACAATCCATAGTGCTTATACCAATTTCACAACAATCAAATTGCAGCAGCTGCGGTAGTAGTAATTTCTGAGGCAAAAACTAAGCCCAGCTTAAATCTATTAACTATAAATGGTTTCCACAGTTTCTTGGTCCCCCCCCCCCCCCATGGATTCCTTTGTCTTTTATTACTCGTGTTGTTTTCTCTTCCAGATTATTCAAGTCTCCAAGGTAGAACTAGAGATGTTTAATTCACAGGATATAAGTAACCAACTATCAAGAAAACTGATTTCCCAATACAAGCCACACACAATTATTCAAAGACAACAACAAAAATAACTATCCATCAACAATACCTTTGATGGAGTACTGGTAATGGTACAGACAGGATAAGTTTTAGGAGCAGGTTTTGGCTGACATTCATAGCACTCTGTTTTTCCCTTCACATGTACAGTCACCTGATTTTAAAGATTCAACAAACAAGTGAAAAGGGGAGGAAAGAATCTTCAAACAAAACCAACTACACTGAAGCATTTTGCAAAACAAATAAAAGGACAAATGAAATAATAAAAATGATGCAGAAGTTTGAATATGCCGGTCAAATGCACAGATGGTTTTTTCCACCATGTGTTTCTAAAAAAAATATAGAGTTTTACATAGTACATAATACATCTCTCCAAAACTACATCTAGCCACACTCAAAAAAAGGACTTGAAACTATTTAACATTATGCAGGAATCACATAATGTAAGACAGAAAATTCATATAGCTAACCCTGTATGATTGGAACAAGGGTAAAGATGATAATGATGACAATGATGACATAGATGATGATTAATGTAACATTTCTATGATAAACTATCACAGACAAACACATAATAAAGAATACTATAGGATCCTTAGCTGATGTAATTATTCAATGAAGCACGTGAATTCTTAGACAGGGAAAAGATAGTTCACTGCATGAACTCAGCTAAAGACATTCCATTATGAAACCCTTTCTGCAACTGCTATGGAGCACTGTCCAGATAAAAACCAACATGCCAACTATGCATGAAGCAAAGAAATTACCTTTCCCGACCTAGACATCTTTGACATATGAAGATTGGCATCGCTAATAATCAAACCAGTTACAATTCTACAAAGCTCAAGTGACCTCAGATAAAAAATATAAACACACACACACAAGGAACCAGAAACATAATGGACAGACAATAATTTATTAGATGCAATCAATTGACAGACCTAGTTCCAATGAAAAAATTAGTTTCTTGCCAACCAACTCTAAAGCAATAACTCACCTGTCCAAGGAATCCAGTTGTCCCACTTTCAATCAAGGGAACATCAGCTGCCAAACACAGGCGATTCACATGTCGTCTAGCATCTAAGTTGTCAAGTCCATTCAAGACCACATTAAATTTCTTAAAGAAGTCCACATTGAAGTCAGAATCCTTTACATTGGCATGGTATGAAGTTATGCTTATCTCAGGTCTAAATTTTAAGACAGCTTCCCGAGCAACCTGTTAAAAATATCCATGAAAATATCATACACTGCACACCTTTTCAAATAGAAAGCATAAGATAGATTAAACATACTTACTTTGGCTTTGGATTGCCCAACATGTGATTGTCGGAAGAGGAATTGTCTGTTGAGGTTACTAACTTCTATAGTGTCCATGTCAATCTGCAATTTGAGATAACCAACTGCACAAGTGAATAATAACCGAAAGAAACAAAGTAAACTTGTTCATTCTTGCAAAATTAATAAATCCGCAGGTCATGAATTGAAAAATTAATAAAGTAAACTTGTGCACAACTGCACAACTGCATATACACAGAACCTGGAAAAAGAATTTGGATTATAATTTAATATCAATCTGCAGGTCATGAATTGAAAAATTAATAAAGGGATCTATCCAAGTAGTGGTAAATATAAGTCAAACCTCCACATCCAAACCCACTATACCATAAAAATGTGGCTTAGTTCATCTTTTTTCAAGATTGGATATCATATACCCCATCAATTTGTTTCAATATATAGCTTTTCTTCCTTTTCGCTTATTAAGCTCTTACACAAATTATAGGATTTCCACCACAGAGCATATGAATCAATCAATGGACATGACAGCAATGAAGGTACAAACTGAAAAATTAACAAACAATGAAGAAAAATGAATACTTATGAGTAGAACCACTTCAGGAATCGCCCTGACTGGCACTAGTCAGCTACTGAGTGTTATTACAAGTTCAAGTCAGAGGTTCGGTTAAAAATATTTCACTTGTTACTAAAACAAGCAAAAATCCCCAGACACACCCTAAGGCTTAGACCTTAGGTAAGAAGTTGCCACCACTTTGAATCCTCTAAAACATTTGGATAATTCTCTTCCAATTCTTTGATTAGCCAGATCCTAGATTCTTCTAAGAATATCATAATTCTTAACAAAACTTTGAATAATCAACAACGACGATGATAATGAAAGAAGAACCAATACTAACTCAACATTTCATCACTTTTCATTCTAATTGACACATGATTACCTGTACAGAGAAGTCATTTTTAAAAAAGAAAAATTCAGAAGAAAATTGAACTAAATTTGGTACTAACAGAACTATTTTCCCTAATTAAAACCCTAAAAAAACAGCACATAAACTTCAATAAAAGAACATGATATGGGTATAACACATAATGAAAACCCTAGCAAACTACCAAAGGAATAAGAAAATAACAGAAACCCATCCCTTAAAAATCAACAGCAGAAGAGGGAGAGAGAAAGAGAGAGAAGCGCACAATATGAATATCTTGGAAGCCAGAGAGAGCGAGAGTCTTGAGAAGCTCGCAGCCGATACCACCTGCCCCAACCATGAGCACTTTCGCGCCCTGCAAAAAAAATCCCAGAAACATTTTTCAAAAAATTAAACCCAAAACCCACTCAGAATTCGAGCAGGGAGAGACTTTCACAGTTGGGGTTAGGGTTTCAACAGAAATTTTGACAGTTGGGTGCTGCAGCAGTACCTTTACAGCGGCCAAGTGTTTCCGGGAAGCCATGAGAGTTGCAGAAGAAGCAGCTAGAGAGAGAAAGGGGAAGACTGCAACAGTGGATTGGACTTAATAGCACAGAGGGGGAGAGAGGTGGGTGGGCTTAGCTTTTAGATGGGTTTGTGGAAATCGAACAGAGGACGTGGGGGAATCTTGGAATGGTGGGTTGTGGTCGTGGAGACCCAGGTGGGGAGGTTCGAGGAAGGAGGGCAGTCGAGGTTGAGGGCGCCAAAAACACAGCAAAAAGGTGAAAACTTCACAGCCAAAAAACCCCTCCCTCTCTTTCTCTCTCTAGGTTCTGTCTTTCGTGTGAGAGTAATGGAGGAGCGACGAGAGAGAGAGGGAGAGTGGTGCCTGTGGGCGGAGTTAATAAAGTTTGAGACTTTTGAGTCTCCCATCTCTTCTTCCTCTGCTCCCCATTTGGGTTTGAGGGTTTTGTTTGACTCTTTTTTTGGCCTACTTTGCTATGTCTAGGGGAGGATGGTAAAGGCATTTGGTCATCACAACAATGATTTTCCATTTGAATTTGGAAATCTAACTACTAGATGTATCCGTTTATGTCTTGTTTGGGTCAAGTCTTGTATATGATTACTAATGCTACAAATATGATAGTTTTAGATACAAACGATGAGTTTCGATTTGTTAAGAAAGTCTTAAAGTGAGAAACGAGGTGCTAGAAGTTTCAAATCTACAAAAAGTTGGTAACTGAGATTAATCCAACCTTAACGATAAGCTATAAATAATAATTCTGGTTCCCGAAACAATAATTTTTATAAAAAATGTGAGCAAAAATACTACAAAAGGCAAACGTATGCTTGTGTTTTAACACTTCAAAGCACAAAAGCGTATTGTTGATCAATTGTTAGCATCAAACCTCGTTGTAGGGATTTGGTTTTGCAAGTTATCAAGTAATTTTCGTTAAGAGGTCTTCGAGTATAACTATGTCAGGGCAAAGCGCTTAAAGAGTAGCGTTTCAATAACTTTTTATATCTTTGAAGTTCGAACTAGTTGTTGTTATGAATTATGTTTTCGCGTGAATATGTAATGTATAATATGTATGAATGTGGGCTAGTAAATAGTGGTAGTGACGCCTAACACTATGCCACTAGCAGCATTAACTAGCCCACACATGATATTGGCTTAGTACTAGACACCTCTACCTCTACCTCCATAGTGTATCTTAGAATTAAGGCGTGACATCAGCTCATATGGGAATGCAAATATTTTTTTTTTTTTAACAATCGATATTATCTACATTAAGGGAAGAGAACGGACTTAGCCTTACAATGGACTAGCAATAATGTAATTCAAATTTGCCACTGGCAAAAATCGAATCTAAGACTTCTTACTTACCTACCAGTGAAAGGAATACTATTAGACCGTAGTACTAAGTGACAATATTATTCTAAATTACAGTATTTTAAAACGTAGTCTATTAAATATTAATTTTTATTTACCACCGATTGGCGTCATATATCTGTTGCTTAGCAAGATCTCACATTAGCATGACCCATAGTGTTACTTTTACACCCGATAATTTTACACGTATTGAATTGAAAATCTATAATTAAGTTTAAATATTAATAAAGGATGTGATATCCACATACTCCTTTTTACTTCTTCCACACCTTTTTGAACCGTCAGATCGGATGAATTGAAGAAGATCAACGAACAAAAATTAACAAAGGTGTATGAGAAGTAAAAATGAGTGTATAAATAGCACATCCCTATTAATAACCGCACATCGTGTCAAGTCACATGTTACGGTTTTGACCCGTACTCTATCATTAAAATATTCATTACATTTTTGCGTAGACAAGCGAAAAAGAGTATAAACAAATTAGGTCACCCTAGCTTTTAACTTTTTACCAAAATTGGCAAAATATGAACACAGGTGTCGCTTCAATTTCAACGCATGCCAAACACTGGCCTGAATCTGTACCGTCCCGGGAGCTGTATTTTCACGTATCCAAACATCCCTCATATCCCTTTGCGGGACCGCAAGTCGCTTTCCGATTCCTCGCGTGACAATGACGACTGCAAGCGAACCCCACCCCACCAACAAATCAAATACCGCCACGTCACTCCCTCACACCTTCACACGGTGCCGCTCACAACACACAAAGCTCCTTTCTCTCTCTCTGAAGCTTTCATTTCTGCATTCCTCGCTGACGCCTGAAGGAGAAGCAGCTGCTGCTGTAAAAGGGTTTGTGTACGGACACTCGTCACGCTCGTACCGACGCTCTCGCTCCGAGAGTCTTTTGCGAGGGCAAGAGGGAGTGGCTGTTTCGTACTCGGAAGCCAAATGCGATTGCTTTTTCCTCTCTAAATTCCCAAATTTAAGGTTTTTTTTTTTCTTTTTCTGATTTTTGCTTCTTTTAATTTGATTTTTTTTCCTTTAGCTCGGAAGTGTTTCCATTGTACAAAAATGGCGATTTTGTCATCTCGGTTTGTCTTTTGGTTAATGCAAGTGACCGACTTTTTGTTTTGGGTTTCTTGTGTTCTCAGTGTTTGAGCCATGGAGTCACCAATTGATGTATCCCCCATTAAAACTACATATGACAGTAAGCTTCTCGCTCTCTCTATACATGTGTGTGTGTATATCTGGAAATTTGGATTGTTGTGGCATGTGAGAGAAATGCAGGTTGAGCTTGTGACAAACCAATTGTGTGGGATTACATTTTGTGAAATTAACGTTTTGGTTGAAAAAAATTGAAATTTTTTATGCATTAAAATGGGGACTTGAAGATTAGAAATTTGATTACAAAGAAAAATTGTAGGGATTGTTTAGTTATTGTGGGTTATTAGGGTTCTGTAGTTTGTGGTTTGTATTAGGGCTACTTCAGTAGTCTGTGGCTATTGTGTAGCTATTGATGAGAAACTGAGAAATAAGTTTTTATTTTATTTGGGTTGACGGCACAAGAAGTGGGGTATGAAAGACATACAGCCTTTGGAAGCGCAACACCTTGTGCAGATTCTGTGCTATCCAAAAAAGAGAACTTGTTCTTCTTACCAAAGTTGTTTGTTGCAAATTACCAAACGGTGTTGGGTCTGCTTCTACTGTGAACAAGTAGTAGCATGCCCTGAAAAGCCCCACTAATGCAGTCTTGAAATTTAATAGTTAAGGTTTTGGGCAAACGTTGTGAATTCCATTCTCCATAGTTGACGTCACCAACTAATAAAATATTTTGTGATTTGTAAATTTTTCATGTTCCATGAGAGTTCGGCTGTATGGATATAATCTAGAAGCTGACGTTCGTATTAAAAAACTTCAGCTCTGATATATTGCTTTTGTTTTCATCAGAAGTTTTCTAGCTTTGAGGCTAGATGTATGTTTTTTACTGTCTTATAAATCAGCTATCTGACTCGGCAATCAAAGAAACATAAATAGATTGATGCTGAACAACATATTTTTCAACTTGTAGTTAACTAATATTACACAACTCTTTTCTTCATCAAATTGTTCTTGTCATGACCAAAATATTGAACCTTAGGTCCAATAATGTGTCCTCTGCCTTTTAGCTGTCTCCATCAGTCCAGCTGAAACTGAATCTCAGCAGATTGATTTTCTTTTGTTACTTAAGCATTGTCAGTGCTGCTATTATGTCGTACCTTCAAAATATAACAAGTAATACTATTAACCTGGACCTCTATTACCCTTGTGGTTGTGCTACTTCTATGATCGCCTAGAATTTTCATGCATGCATTGCATTGTGAAGTGTTAAACAGGTACATATACAAGGTTTGTATTGTAAACTTTTGAAATTAATATATAATTCATTTTTTATGTTCATGCATCTTGCATTGCTTTAGGATGCAATTTCTATTAAGAAAGCACACAATATCCTCCACTTATACTCATACAAAAGGGAAAAAAATCCAAGTTTTTCACATATAACTTCCTCCTCTTTCCTATGCTGATGCTGATTTGATATACTTGGCTAGATGGTTTTCTGAACTTATGAGTTTCTGTAATTTGCCTACTTTCTTTTTCTTCTTATTTTTCGCAAGATCCTCATTTTTATATCTATTTGTATGTTACCTTCCATTTGAGCTCAGGTTTGTATTCCAAGGGGCATAAGAGGATGAAACTCTGTTTGGACGGAAAGAATTATGATGGCTTGGACTTCTCTGTAAGTAAGCATGATGAAGTTGTAGAGAAGAAACCTAAGTCTACTTCAGAAGTTGTTGACTACACTGATCCATTTGCCATACGGAACTTGCTGGAGAGGTTAGACTGTGGTGAATATGGAAGTGTTACAAAGGAGATAGAGGCAGTTCTTGCTAAAAAGACCCAAACTATGGTCCCTTATTTTGCAAAGTATCCTGCACTGGCAAATGCATTCCTGGAGGAAGACAAGAGGCAGAGTAAAAAGGCTCCCAAATCTGAAAATCCACTAGCTAGTGATAAAGTCATTGATTTGGAGGATGACTGCGTTGAAAATAATGCTCCAGCATCACTGAGGCCTGTGGTAATCATTGATTCAGATGAGGAACAAAGTGAAGATCCGAGATCTTATCCTTTCAAAGAGGTTGTCTTGCCACAACCATCGTATTCTTTCCAGGAGGTTTTCTTGGGACAATCATCAGAACAGAATTCCATGAATAACACAGTGGTATGTGTGCCCTATATATAATATCTCTACTTTCCTGCTCAATTTAATCCTATCTGTCAAATGATTGGTCAGCGTATGTTCAGGAAAGGGACTTTTTGGAGAACAGACTTCCAGGTGAAAAACCAAGTCTGTCCAGTGAAACAGGAATCAAGAATCACCCAGGAATTTACGTTGGTGTAGAAGATGATGGTGATTACCAGACAGATGTTGAAGAAGATGATGGTCTGGGAGATATTTGGAATGAAATGTCAATGGGTTTAGAAACTAACAAGGTATCATTTATGTACATTCTTTACTATAATAACATGTTTCTTTGCTATGTGTGCATGTATTTTATGTTCCAAATTGGAAAAACATGTTGGCTTATCACATGTTTGGTGCAGATTGTGTCAGCTCTCTCTGCTTTGCTCGAGCTCAAAGTAACAACTTCCGTCTTTGATATAATAATTGTTTCTGAAAAAATAGAGCCATTGATGCTTAATAAAACTCATTTCCCAATTAAAGTGATTGCTCACCTGAACAGAGATTAATGTTTAGGGAGGAAAAAACCCTTAAATATTGAGTAAACAGGATAGAAAAAAATATATCTCCCAGTAAATAGTACGTTTTTGCAAGTTTGTCGTCCCTATTCAATTTCCCAGGGAAAGTGTCTATATGTCAAATTACTAGTACAAGCATCAGAGTTAAGAATATTTTGTCCAAAAATCTTCGATAACT